ATTGACTAAGGTGTGACTTTTGAGTAAACGACCTTGAAATCGGGATTTGAAGGTTCCAACAGGTTTTTATGATGATTTTGGTCTTGGGACCCTGACCAGACGTTGATTTGGAGGTCCGTAGGTCATTTCGGCATCGACTGGCAAAGGTTGAAAATTTGGATGATTTTGAGAAGTTTGACCAGGAGTGCACTTTTTGATATCAGAGTCGGATTCTGATTCCGAAAGAGGGAGTAGGTCCGTAATGTTAATTATGACTTGTATGAAAAATTTGAGGTCAATCAGATTTAATTTGTAGGTTTCGGCGTCAGATGTAGAAGAATGAAGTTTAAAGTTTATTAGGCTTGAATCGACGCGCGATTCATATTTTTAGCATTGTTTGATGTGATTTAAAGGCTCGAATAAGTGCGTATGATGTTTTGAAACTGATTGGTATAATTGTTTAAGGTCCCGAGGGCCTCGGGTGGATTCTGGAGGGTTAACAGATTGAGTTTGGACTTGGGGAAAAGCTGAGGAAGCTGGTGTCATGTGCAATCGCACCTGCGAGAAAAGGGCCACAGGTGCGAGACCGCAGAAGCGGCCCAGGGGTTGCAGATGCAGAATAAAGTGAGGGCGGATGGATTCGCATGTGCGAGGAAAGTTCCGCACCTGCGGGCTCGTAGATGAGGGCGAAGGAGCGCAGAAGCGGAGCTGGGCTGGGGGGGGGGCACAGAAGCGGCTGTTTGTGCACAGAAGTGCATGCGCAAAAGCGAGAGGTGAACCGCAGAAGCGGAGATGGCCCGGGTGAGGGACGTCCGCAGAAGCGAGTTTTTACTCGTAAAAGCAAGGCTGCAGATGCGGCAATGTTGTCCGCAAAAGCGAAACCTGGGCAGAACATAAGGGATTGAACTTGGCCATTTCATCATTTTCGTTTGGGATTTGTGGAGCTCGGTTCTTGGGCGATTTTGAGGAGTTTCTTCATGTAACACAAGGTAAGTAATTTCCCACTTGTTGTGAGCTAAATGAAGGTTTTTTTTTTTTTTTTTTTTTTTTTTTTTTTTTTGCCTAATATATAAATAAAATCCCAAAATGGGTCCAAAGCTTACAAGATGTCCAAACTAAAATAGAAGTTGCATGAAGCTACTAGCTATTAAAAAGATAGAAAAGCTAAAATCTAATGAACTAGCTATTACAACATGATAAATTGAATGCTTCTTTCTCCTATTAGTGTATGTGAATCCAATTGCCATTGGCAAATACCAAGCAACACCTATCAAGCTCTCACCAGGCGCTAGGGTATATTGTCCATAGGCTAAAATGAATTCCAAACATCTCCACCCCAGAGTTGAAGCCAGCATAGCCTTCCAAGTGTAACTACTATATGATCTCCATATGCAATGGACTGATTTTGTTCAAGTATTAATCATGTGCTCACTCATCAACATTAATGTGTAGAAGAGGAGCCTGGCTTTAGGCAGGCTTTGCAAGGCAAAAGCCAGGCTTGAGTTGGCTTTAGGCAGGCTTTGCAAGGCAAAGGCCAGGCATGAGCTGGCTTTAGGCAGGCTTTGCAAGGCAAAAGCTAGGCTTGAGCTGGCTTTAGGCAGGCTTTGTAGGGCAAAAGCCGGGCTTGAGCTGGCTTTAGGCAGGCTTTACAAGGCAAAATCCAGGCATGAGCTGGCTTTAGGCAGGCTTTACAAGGCAAAATCCAGGCATGAGCTGGCTTTAGCCAAGCTTTACAAGGCAAAAGCTAGGCATGAGCTGGCTTTAGGCTGGCTTTGCAAGGCAAAAGCCAGGAATGAGCTGGCTTTAAGCCGGCTTTGCAAGGCAAAGGCGAGGATTTGAAATTGTGCCTTTTTGTGATCTTGTAAGCTCAAATTATTCCCTACTAGAACCTTTAATGTAGACATTATTCTAAACATTTCTAAACCATCCTCAGATTGAGCATGAAAGCATGCTAATACCACTGAGAAATGATTCAACAATCTCGAAAAATATCATATGATGGGTTCAGCATTTTTCTTAGCTTTTGGACATATCAGTTTGTGCAGAATCCAATCCTGTGAAGCCATCAGTCTGGAGTTCTTCTCTTTGCTATACTAACCCTAAGGTTAAGTGATTGAGATTTGTCTAGATTGATCAACCTCCTCCCTGCACTATGCAGTTCAGAGAATGAATGAAACTCAGATGTAACTGCAAAAGAGAACACAATGTTAGCTATAAAATCCGCCACTGAGTTGCCTTCTCTGAACGCATATTGAAAGATCACATTGAAGTTGTCCTTCATCTCTATAATTTTCTTCACATACTGTGCAATTACCCAAGGAGGATCCCATTCCCCTTCTATCGCCTTCTTCATCACCAATGAATCAGTCTCCTGTATGAGAGGGTGAAGATCGTGCTCCACACAATATTCCAACCCTTGAAGAATAGCCTTAGCTTCAGCCACCACATTAGTTGTCACTCCCAGGTCTACTGCCCTAGCATACACCACATCACCTTCATCATCCCTCACACAAAAGCCTAGGGAGCTAGGCCCATGATTGCCCTTTGAAGCTCCATCAGTATTACATTTGTACCAACCATGAAAAGGAAGCTGTCATGTTACTCTTGTAGTGATCAATATAGGTTTATATCCTTCAAAGTATTGAATCATGTCTGGCCATAATGATGGAATATTAGGGATCCAAGCATACCTCACCCTTGCCAGTTGATACAATGTCCTATTTATCTCATGAATCACCCTATTTGTGGACACTGAACCACCATGTTTACCTGTATTTCTTCTCTTCCAAAGCTCCCAAGTGATGATAGCTGGTACTGCTTGAAATAATGGCTTTAATTTTGGACAACACTGAGCATACCACTAATGCCTTATAATCTGCTTCAATTGAATCAATTGCACAGAAATTCTAGCCGCCCCTATGAACAAGTTCCATACCTTAGAGGGAGTAGGACTTGTGACAAATATATGCTCAATGGATTTCTCTTGGGGCTGCTGACAACACCAACACCTAGACATCACCATTTGCCCTTGCCTCCTCCACATGCCATCGATGGCTTTTTTCTGCCTCCACAATCTCCACAAGAAGAAGGATATCTTGAATGGAAAACCTTTAATCCACATTAACTTGAATTCCTGATTAGGATCAGCCCTATGCCTTAATATTTTCCAAGCACTGCTAACACTGAACTTGCCTGAAGGAGTTGACATCCAGTATGGCCTATCCCAATATCCCTCACTGCCTTTATAATGCACATTTAGCCTTATATGTTCTGCAATTTCCTCAGTGAAAGTTTGATCTAGCAGCTGATCATCCCATGCTTCCCCTTGCTGTAGTTCTGCCACCTCCTGAAGACCTTCATTAATTGGAAAGTCTTCAAGTAATACGTGATAAAGTGCACCCAATCTAGTCCAATATTTATGCCAAATATTAGTTTTTCCACTCTTCAATTCCCATACAATCTCATGTTCTACTTCTTCCCTAGCATTCAATATTTTTCTCCAAATATGAGACCCTCCCCTAAAATGCACCAGTGTTGGTATCTCCTTCTTGCAATACTTATTCCACATGAAATTAGACTACAAATATTTTGTGGTCCTAAACCTCCACCATAGTTTAGCAAATAGTGCCCTTGAGACATCATTTAAGGACCTAATACCTAGCCCCCCTTCCTATTTAGGAAGGCAAAGATTTTGCCATGAAGCCCAGTGTCTGCTTCTCCCTTATTCCTTTGTGCTCCAAAAGAACCTAGCAAAAGTCTTATGTAGATGCCCCATGATGCTGTTTGGTAGATCAAGGACTGATAACATGTGAACTGGCATACTTTGCAACACACTAGAGATGAGTGTTGCCTTTCCTCCAAATGACAGCAGCTTTCCTTTCCATGAATGCTATTTAGCCTTCACCTTCTTGATAAGATCCTCATAATAGTCCTTCCTCCTTCTAGTGTAAAAATAGGACACCCTAGATATGTAAAGGGGAATTTACTCTTGCAAATCCTGTAATAGCTCCAACTGCCTGAAATAATCCATTAGCAACCTTTGAATGCATGTAGTATGAACTCTTATCTTTGTTGATCATCTGACCTGATATCTTCTCATAGTTCCCCAACACTGCCATAATCTTTCTCAAAGAGGGAGGATAAGCAGATGCAAAGATTATCGTATCATCTGCATATGCCAAGTGGTTTAAAAGATCAGACCACTTAGGCATTCCAAATCCCACAAATGACTTGTCTTCAAAGAGCTTATTCAAAGACCCGGAAAGTACCTCAACTGACAGAATGAACAATGCTGGAGATAGGGGATCCCCTTGTTTCACACCCCTTGTCGACTTAAAGAACCCTGAGGACTGCCCATTCACCAATACTGAATACCAGTTATTTGACATCAAGTTACACACCATGTTGATGAAGTGTTCAGAAAATCCCATCTTCCTTAGCACATGCAATAAGTACTTCCATGAAACCCTATCATAAGCCTTAGCCATATCAAGCTTGATCACCACATTAGCTGGCTTTTCCCTTAACCTTATGTCAGTGATAATTTCTTGAGTCAATAAGATGTTCTCAAATATACTCCTACCTTTTACAAATTCGGATTGATTAGGAGCTATTAGAAATGGCAAAAAACTCTCCAATCTGTCATGTAACACCCTAGACAAGACCTTGTTAATGAAATTGCTCAAACTAATAGGTCTTAAGTCAGAGAAGGTCTCAACACTAGGTTTCTTGGGCAGCAACACTAGATTGGTATGAGTGATGGATTTAGGCAATGCAACTCCTCCATAGAAGTATAGCACCATGTTGTGTATATCAGCACCAATAACATCCCAGCATGTTTGATAAAACAAGCCAGTGAATCCATCAGGACCACTAGCACTCTCCCCACTAAGCAGAAAAATTGCTGCCCTTACTTCTTTAATTGTTGGCAATTTGCTAAGTTCCACATTCTGATCCATAGTGACCATTGAAGGTATATTATTGAGCAAGGAAAATTCAGAAGCATCACCTTCATTTGTGAACTATTTTTGATAGAAGTCCACTGCAGCTGTAGCCAATTGCTCCTGGTCTTCAATCCATACCCCATGGCCACTTTTGATCCTCTTCAGTTGCAATTTCTTTCTTTTGCCATTGACATGATTGTGAAAGAAACTTGTATTCCTATCTCCTTCAGTAAACCAAATCATCCCAGCTTTTTGCTTCCAATACCGCTCCTCAATACTCAAGTATTTCTTCAATTCAGATTGAGCTTTTTGAAGCACAATCCTATTCTTAGTTGTAGGCTCTTCTTCAAACAACATCTCCTTCACCCTAACAATTTCCTCCAAAATAGCCAATTGCTTGAAGATATCCCCAAATGTTTCCCTACTCCATTTTGAGAGTGCTGCCTTCACTCTCTTGATATTTTGCTTGAACATCAAAAATGGATCCCCTATGAAATCAGCTTCCCAATTCTGCCTCACCACATCTATAAATATAGCATGCTTTGTCCAAAAGTTCAAGAATTTGAAAGGCTTGACAAAATTGGTTGTTTGCACCCCACATGTCATTAGCAATGGTGCATGATCTGATCCAGTTCTGATTAGATGCTCAACTTCAATAGTTGGCAACATGTTCTGAAATGGCAAATTCACAAAAATCCTATCTAATCTCTTGAATATACACTCAGCATTGGATCTCCCATTCCACCATGTGAATGGACTTTCTTTGTACTCTTGCTCAAACAAACCACAAAAGTTTACACAAAATGCAAAATCCTCATATTCAGGAGGGTGTACTGGAAGTCCCCCTAGTTTCTCATCTTCATGTAATATCACATTGAAATCCTCTCCTACCAACCATGGTAATTCCATATCACTTGCTAAGTAATACAAGTAATCCCACAAATCTAACCTCTCCATTGCTGAACATTTTGCATAAACAAATGTCATCATCATGTGCTGCCCCAGGTCATGGTGAAACACTCTCACACTCACCTGTTGCTCAGTATCCTCCACTAATTCCCATTCCACCACTGCATCGAAGAATAATCATATTTCCCCATTAATATTTGCATAAGCAGTTCTCATATTCAACCTCATTTTATATCTATCAATGAGTCCCTTCTTTTGAAAAGGCTCCATTAATGCAACTACACAAAACTTATGCTCCCTATTCATGTTGATCACCCTAGGAAAGGCCTGTTGTGTATTCACAGACCTTATGTTCCATATTAATGTTTTGATCATCATCATTTAGATAGAGAAGCTGCCCTCCCGGGCATTATTCTTGAATGTTGTGGTGGATCTTTACTCTGATTCTTCTTAGTTTTTTTACCTCCTTTAGCACTAGTTGTGGGTGATAAATCCCTTTCTCTAGCCACTTGTTTGAAGTTTTCTGCAGTTGATTCATCATCTCCTTCATCCTCCATTGGATTTTGTCTCAATAAGTCTTAATCAATTGGTGTCACATTGTGTGTAACTAAATCATGTAAATGTTGTAGTGGAGTCTTAAGTGGAACATTAAGATGTAGCTGCATAATTTGATCAGTGCCAGATTCCATAGGCACTTCCTCTATTTTCCCCGATGCTCTTGGAACAATTGCCCACTCATCAGCCCGTTCATACTCCTTGAATTGTAGCTCATAGACACTGCCTAGCCTAGGAGTTACTGTGGCAGTCTGCTCTGAATGTACTATTCTAGTGAGATCACCACCCTTACCATTGCCTGAAATTTGGTTTGAACCTACTATATCATCCCTAATATTCACATTAACATATCCATCAAGTTTGTTCTCCAAATGCATACACCGGAACACCATCTATATAGGCCAATATCTCTTCAGTTGCACTAAGGTTGGGGTTTACTATAGCTTCCTCATCAGGTGAACTTGGCTTTAGGCCTGGCGTCGCCAGCCTAATGCCTGGTGAGCCTGGCTTTAGGCCTGGCATCGCCAGCCTAACGCCCGGTGAGCCTGGCTTTAGGCCTGGCGTCGCCAGCCTAATGCCTGGTGAGCCTGGCTTTAGGCCTGGCATCGCCAGCCTAACGCCCGGTGAGCCTGGCTTTAGGCCTGGCATCGCCAGCCTATCGCCAGGTGAGCTTGGCTTGTTGTCCTTCTTCACCTTGACTTCTGTTGTCTTTGTTGTGCCCAGCTGATCATCTTTAACCTCAACTGCATCACTCCATAAGATCTTTGTAGAGTTTACCTCATCAAGATCCTCAATCTGCCGAGAATCTTTAAATGTTTGAGATAGAATCTCATGACAAGATTGGTTTGTGGTCACATTGAGTTATTTTAGCTTCTCATTGCTAGTCCCAAACCTTCTATGAACCCAGTCGATTGTGGGTTCCTTATTAGTCCTTTCATTAGTACGTTGAGTTCTAAGAACACTAGAATTAACCTTAACTAATTCTTGATCATCTTTAGGAGCTGAAGACTAAATCCCAGATGGAATAGGGTTACCATTATGCTCATTTTCCACCACCTTCTCGACTGCTTCCTTCTTCACACGCTTATGTTCCTCTTGAGTATTGACTTTCTTTTCCTTCTCCTGGCCCTTCTTAGCTTGCTTTTCCCCATATTCCTTCTTCTTACCATTGTTATGGTCCTCACCTTTGCCTTCAGTAATTTGTAGAGTAAGCTGATGAACTTCCTCAACCTCTAGTGCATTAAACTTGTTCTTGGTTGCAACTTCCTCAACTTTCGCCTTCCTTTTACCCTTGTCAGCTTCCTTTCCTTGTTTGTTATCAATAATTGACCCCTATTATATCATTGGTATTTGTTCTTCCTTGGTTTCATCCATTCCTGCTTGGCATGATTAGTAGTAGGCTTACCAACCACCTTTCCACTAGTTAGGACCTTTGTTGAATTTGCAGCAGTCCCAATTGCACCAGAACTCATCACAACTGCCTTCTCCTTGCTTTGTTCCTCAACACCTTCTTCAAATCTCTTGTGTAATTCAGGATGAATTACCCAGCATTCTACCTCACTATGCCCTTGTTTTTTGCAAGGTTTGCAATATTTTAGCATATAATCATACTTAATCCTGATCCACTTGAACTCTTCTGGTCCAGATTCATCAGCTTCTTCCACAATCTTAATACGATGAGGGAACTTACTTAACAAGTTAACTTCCACCTTCACCTTAGCACAACTAGGTCTAGTCCCATTTTGAGTGGCTAGGTCTACATGTAATGGATTACTAACTGCACGAGCTAAGGAAAATATACATTCCTTCCCAAAGAAATTAGGAGGCAGTTCTGGAAAGCTAATCCAAGCAATGGCAATGGGAGTCTCTTCATCAGGTGTCCACTATGGATTCCATTTTGTACAACGCATCTGCCACATGTCTGACTGAGATTTTAAATAAAAAGCTGGCTTTGAAAGAAGATGAACCTAGTCCTCCAATAAAGACAACCTAATCAAAACATGATTATCTTCAATTAAACCAACTAAGCAATGGCCTTTAATCTCATATTGAATTGGAATCACTTTATGTAATTCACTAATAATAGGCTTCCTATACGAAAATTTCCCAAGAACAGCAAGTAGAAGTCCTTGTTGTACGATAGATTGATTCACTTCTTGTTTCTTCCACTTCGCAACTGGTTCTCCGTGAAGGAACTCAACTGGTTTTAATGGTAGCGTAGCGAAGGTTTGCATAGGGGCATTAATGGCAGTAGGTTTTAAAAGTATTGAGTAATCCATGGATTGGGGATTGTTGTTTGTTGTCATAGATGATTGGGCGATGGGCTGCACTGAAGCTTGGGCAGCAGTCATCGCAAGAGGATTGGATGAATTGGGTGTCAAAATCTTTGAGTAATCTAGAGTTTGTGGATTGATAGTTGGTGTTGTTTGTGGTTGGGCGATGTTTGGGGAGGGCAGACTAGCTGGAAAAGATGGCTGGTCGCCGGCCATCGCGGCCATTGAAGCTCAAACTCACAGCTTTTCGTGATGAACAGTGAAGCGATGCTACTGTTCACTACACTGTAATGGGGCAGTAAAATGTAAGGTTTATATGTGGATTTAAGGGGGAAATATTTGGTGAAAATTTGAGATTTTGGTAGAAAACCTAAATTGATATTTTTTGAATTTGATCACGAAATTGAATATGGAATCGGGAATAAGTTATATATCTTAGTTCGTGGTGTTATGGGTAAAGTTTATCTTCAAATATTTTCGGAATCCAGGCACGTGGACCCGAGGGTTGATTTTATAGACTTTTCGAGCGGAGTTGGGAAATTATTTAAAATGATTAATTATGGATATTAGAATATATTTTGACTGGTTTGCACGTTGTTTGAATAGTTGTGGATCGACCGGCTTTGGTTTGAGGTGTTAGAGAGGCCTTGGAGCCAGTTATGGAACTTCAGAGTGAGGTTAGTCTCCTGTCTAATTTTGTGAGGGGAAAACTACCCCTAGGTGATAATTATTGTTATGTGCAACTATTGTGGGTGCTACGTACGCAAGAGGTGATGAGAGTCCGTACTTAGCTATAGCATGTTCATGTCCGGGTAGACTTAGGACCTTATTCTGTAATATTTGAATTATTTGAGCTCATGTTGCTAACATTAATTAATCGAAGTTATAAATGAAATTGATTTAGAAATAATTATGTGAATACTAGGCCAAGCCTTAACCCTTTGAGTTGTGGGCGAGTTATTTGAGAAACGGTAAAGATTATATCCATTTTTATACTCATGTACGGTATTGTAAACACATGTCTCGTAATTCGGTAACTTCCTTCCTTTTGTTGTGGAGCAGGCCAAATGTCTCGGCAGTATATAAATGCATCTATGGATCGTGCCGCTCGTCCCTCGGTAGTGTAAACATTATTCTGGATCAGGCCGAATGTCCCTCGGCAGAATCATGCATTATATCGCTTGTAGCCCGAATATTCACGAGTTAACCTCTCTACTGATGCCCAGTATTTTATATGGTACTCCGGGTTTATTTGATGATAACACTTGATAACTTTCGGAGATATTAAGATAGAATACAAGATTGAGAAATTCATACTTTAAAGAAAATAATTGGAAACTTTTGAGATTTAGAGATTTACTTCACTATTGATGTGCACTTCATACCTGTTATGGATTATTATATTATTTGCTTGGACCTCTATTAAGTGTCGATGTCGACCCCTCATCACTACTTTTTCGGAGTTAGGCTAGATACTTACTGGGTATGCATTGATTTGCGTACTCATGTTGTACTTCTGATCTGGCAGGTTCATTGATGATCACCTTGGCGCGTAGGCGCACCTCTTGAGGAGACTTCATGTGAGCTGCATCTCAGGCTACGCATCGCAGTCCACGAGTCTCCATTATACTATTTATCTTATTCTGTATTATTACATTCGGGATGTATGTTGTACTATTATTGCACTCCTTAGAAAAATGATCATGCACTTGTGACACCAGATTTTTGGGGCTTTCTACGGGTTGTTCGTTATTGAAATTGTGAAATCTCTATTTCATACGATTTAATTAAGGAAAATTATGATTTCAAACACTTAAATGAGTAAATTAATAGATAAATTACTGTTGGCTTACCTGACAGCGATGTTAGGCGCCATCACGACCTTTAATGGATTTTGGGTCATGACAGCTTGGTATCAGAGCCTTAAGTTCACTTAGGCCTCATGAGTCATGAGCAAGTGTAGTAGAGTCTTGCGGATCGGTACAGAGACGTCTGTACCTATTTTTGAGAGGCTACGGAGCTGTTAGGAGCACTTCCCTTCTTGATTTCCTCATCGTACGATTTGATTCCATTGAGGCTTGTGCCTTTATTTCCTTCCTACTCAATCTTATGCGACGCGAAGCGCTTGTTATCAATTGGACGTCGATGAATTGTGGTGGCACTGCAGACATGGTGCAGGATGTTTTCCCTGCGTGTTCGGGCAGGCTATTATCGTCGCCTTGCGGAAGGATGTTCTTTTGTTCCAGCACAGTATCTGTATTTTCTATGGCTTCGGGATTATGCACGGATTGCTACGATGTCTATGCATTGTTATTGCACAATGTTAGTGTAATGGTAAGGTGCTCATTTATGTATTGAGTTAATGAATGGCTTGAAGAGAGGATCTCTCATAGCATGATTTAGAGACTCAGTGTTTAATTCTAACAAAGGAAAGGCAATTGGACTATGAATGTTCAGGTTTGGTTGATGAACTTACGAGACTTGATATTTTCGAGTGTGGTGGAATTTGCATTGTGATGCGGTGTCGTTGTCCTTGTTGGAAAGTATTATGGTTCACCGGTGTTATGGTCTTCTTCGATTTTTTCCTTCAGGACAGGGTGTTGTGGAATGGTGCCTGAGGGGCACTTGCCAGCGATAGCCGTGTGCAGCGGTTCAGAATTGATATGGTATTTCTAATATTGATGGTTCGAGGAAGATGATCTTCGAAGAGGCTTAGAGTCGGTAGGAAC